AACTGTCCATAGCGTGGTGCTAGACGCGGAAAGTATATATATAATTATAATGAACTTACAATAAATTAAGTTAATATATAATTACTGTATATATACAGTACCTAATTTATATATAATTATATGTACAGACGATACTAAACTCAATTTATCCGCCTAAACTGTCCAAAGCGTGGCGCTGGACGGCGGAAAGTAGTTCGGCTGCCCGATGACGTTTTACGTAATTATAGGAGTTTTTCTACCGTTGTTTACGGATACCGCCACAATTTTTTCGCCGTCTTATAGGAATCGTAATTATAGGAACCCGTCTTGTAGGGGGATCTACTGTAAAGGAACATATAAGAGCGATAAAAGGAAGTTATGCAAATTCGGCGGTAGCGGATCAGAGGGTTGCGAAGTCGCTTTAGATACGATAAAATAAAGAAAAAAAAAACAATTTTAAAAGACAGTTACACGAACATATTTACATAAAACGACAAACCAACAGGACGAACAATAAGTTGGGCAGAATGGTGGAACAGTATCCTCGATAACGGGAGCAATAGAATAGAAAGTTTATAAAGGTGTATGTTAATTAAACGAAAAAGCTATTTCCGAGCGGTCTTCGTCCCCCGCACTGGAGTGGACTAGACCCCGAACACTGGGAGTTCGGTCGTGGGTTGGCGCCGCGCTGGGAAGGGCCGGCAGCGTGGAGTTTTCCGGGTTTTCTCCGCGTCGAGGACGCCCGAATAGGAGCCAGTTTTTCCCTCCCGGAAGGCATTCTTTCCCCTCGCGCGCGTTGGCCGTTCTACCAGGCCGGATCTTCCGTCGCCTAGCGACCAACCGCAAGCTATTCGGAGCACCGTATTAGAGCTTAACAGCCATAAACTGCATATAGGCCTAAACCATTGGACCAAACGAAAAAGCTATTTATCGTTTGCTGCTACAAGCGTAGCTCCGCCAGTAAAAAGTCCTTTTAAACGTCCCATTTGGAATATTATNAATATTTGTGAATATAGTAATATTAACATTTTTTATAAACCAAACTTAATATTTATAAATTAATGTATGAACTTTTGAACATGTCTATTAAACAGTGTTTTAAACTTAAGAATAAACATAAATTTAATGATACAGTAACAAATTTAAAATTTATTGATGAAAGTATTTTCATCTCTTGTATAATTAGAGCTTTCTTGGTTTGAATAGGTTACAGATTAAAATTTTTTAAACTGATGAAAGAATCATATATAGATCTGTATACAGTATTGTAAAGTTTGACTTTATGTTGTGGTACATCCCATATTCACTTTTATTCTTTCTGTTTGTTTTTCATCCTGAGCCATTACAATGCCTTGGTAAAACTTATTGCAGCAGATGATAACAGTCTCAATTTGTCAGGTGTGCATCTGAAGAGGTCCAACTGGACCATCATGAAGTGCCCTAATTGATGGAAAGGAGAAGGTGACATATAGAAAGGGGATAAGAACAAGAGAACTGAGGTGATGACATCTTTTTCCCTAGATGGGCTTTGTCTTGTCTGAAATGACCACTGAACAAGTGGAAGAAATCATAAAAGAAAGGAAGGTGAGCATGTGTAGGAAGGAACAAAGAATTAGTGACTCTTAATAGAAGGAAGGTGACATTATATATGTAGATGTAATACATATGTCGTAAGGAATAGAATCTCACAAGGATTTTATTTTGAAATTTCTCTCCTGTTTGAATTAAGGGGTGGAAAGTGGTATTTAGATGAAGACTCATCCACAAAATTCTTGAAGTGTAATCAGAGTATAGACTGAACATCCCTGGAGGTGGGAACTCAAGATCGGGTAACTAAGGAAACATTATTGGGAATGTACAGTACATATTTAATATTGTATATTGGATATTGTATTAATATAGTATTACTAGTACTATATTGATATAATATAGTATATTGGATATTGTCAGAATTTAATGTATATTTAGTGATTTGTATATTAGTTATTGTCTGGATTGATCTGTTATGGATCAGATATTGTCAGGATCACACCCCTTAATTGAGTGAGATCAGTGTTTCAGTTCAGGTGTTGTCGGATTACATCCCCTTCTATAGCGGGATCAGATTGTTATCAAATATATATAAATATATGTATAATTTCTACAAAAAATCACTGTTGAGCAAAGGAATTTAATTTCTTCATCAGTATTTTTGATAAATTTTAAGGTAAACATTTGTCAAAATTATAAATTTTCAAATTTAGTAGCTGTATAATTTTTTATAGACAACTCCAGCAAAGCTGCAAAAGATTGAGGCAAGAGGTTGTTCTGTCCCCAATGTCAGCAAATTCTTCTGTACAGTTGGCAAATTTGTACTGCCAAAAAGATAATAATATATTGTGTTTACTCGAATATAAGACAATCTCACATATAGGAAGAGGTGTGACTTTAAAGATCAAAATAAAGAAAATTTGATTTAAATGCAGGAACTATTCTATTCTCAGCACTGGGATGAAAATAACGTCACACTATCGGAACCTGTGACCGGTGCTCTATGCGTATACGTTAAATATCGCTTGACAAACGTTTTCGAGCGTTCTGTTCGCTCTTCTTCAGGTCAACTGAAAGAATTCCCCGGACAAGGTGTATATTATTCTTCTCTAGGATCGGGTGTCGGTTCCGAGGGGGTGGGTNGTTTGCTGCTACAAGCGTAGCTCCGCCAGTAAAAAGTCCTTTTAAACGTCCCATTTGGAATATTATATGTTTTATAAATATTTAAAAAAATTTCTACAGGTATTGTAGTATCGCGATAAAGATATTTTGGTGTATTTATTTACATATGGTGGAAATTAACAACGGAGAAATTGTAAGTGGTGTTAACGCGTAAATATCGTTTGTCTGTCTGGTAATCTTTGTATGGCAAATTTTGGAACGTTATATTTATAAAAATATGTTTTTACTTTATACAGGTTTTGTAGTATTGCGATAGGAATTCTTCCGTGTATTTATTTACGTATCGAAGTAATTAACGATACGGTAATTGTAAGCGGTGATGGCGGGCAATTTTTTGTTACGTATTTTTAAAGTTTCATAAATTTTTGTTTTAGCGCCACGCTTTCGTAAACTTGCCGAGGAGGGTCCGAAAGGCAAAAAAAGAGCGTAACGGGTATAATACGAGGCGAAAATAAAGATTGCTCGTTTCTCCGAATAAGGTTTTTTTTCCTCTTTCGCAAAAACTAAAACACGTCCTCTTAGTAATCTTAGTCCTGGTAGACAAACATTTAACGAATGGTAGAAAATAAAGACACAGAGGCATCCCAATTAATCTTATTCTATTTTGATTAATTCTGTAGACATTTTTAGCCGTTAATCTTATCTTTTAGCGCGTAATTACCGATCGGCGGCCTAAAAGTCGATTGGCCGTGTAAAATTACAAGCAATTTAATAACTTTTAAAAGCGCGCGAAAGCGAAAGGAAAATATCGTTTCCAGTAATTTTATTTTTTTAAATAAAATTTATAAATAGTACAGTATTTAAGATAAAAATGTAGTTTTTAAACTAGTTAACTGACTTTCGGGCCACCCTGTATATTTACGAAGAGTTATAGTCCGTACGCGTAGGATGACCTGGGAGCGCCGCATCGTATACGTACCTGTCCTCTTCGGGCCCTTTCCAGACTATTTCTGCGGGGAAACGACCGACAGCGACGTTCCGTCTCGCGACTCGGACCGGACTAGGGCGATCGGAGCCACTCGGTTTCTTCCTACCGGTCCTACCGCGGCAGTCGATGTTACGCGTTACGTCCTTCGTTTCGTTGTCGTACGGTGGAGAATAACAACGAGAGGGTTAGGTTTGCTATCGTAGTCGTCGACGCGTAATTACACCCTAACTAACGCTATCGTTGGTAAAGTAATCCGTATCTAACGACCAGTCCTAAAAAGTTTTTCCTTAGCACCTAATACGAAATCGTTGGTGCCCGGACATCGAGGCGCGTGGCCTCATTTTCGTCTGGATTGCCCTTTTCCTAATTTTCCAGGGCGCTGCAAACAACAGAAAATATTGGCGACTTCTATCCTATTCCGCGGATATAAAAGAAACTAACGAACGATATTGGTCGATTGGCCCCTACGACCGGTCGTACGTCGACAAAACCCCGTTCCTGGTTTTCCAGGCCGAGTTAGCCCCCGGCGCGACCGGCGGCACTGGGTAGGGGCGCCGATCCCAGTTCGAAGCCTCTAGCGTAACGTACCGCCTACCGTTTTATAACTGGCGCCCCCTTTAATAAAATAATTACCGCCGCAATCCGCCATACGTGGTAATATCGTAGCCGTATTGTATTAAATATTGCGGACACGAAAGGAGTAAAATGGTCTACAGAATTTGCGACAGACGTTGTATTTTATGTGCGGCAAATGACGCTTTAAGCGCCTGGGTTATCCGGTAGTCCTCCTTACAAAGTATACGATTGTAAATAGCGCAGAACTCCGAGTACGGATAAGCGCTAACGCGCGCATTTCTGGTGCTCCGACCGTAGTCGAACGATTATTCTTAACTAGATTTAATGCCGCCGGGGACGAATATCACCGTCTGGACGGTGGTTGTACGGAAGAGGTGGCCGACCTACGGCGCGTGTTCCCAAAGTGGCGCGTAACGCGTCGATTTATCTTTGGTTTATCGCCCGATTACCCTTTTCTCAATCGGTTCTTTACGTTTATTCTAATATAGCGTATTGGTTTAATTTCTTTAAATATCTTCATTCCCAGTCTAAAGCTTTGACACGCGCCAACATCTTTAAAAACTTTAAAACTTTGGCACGCGGGTTCAAATAGGTTGGCCATCCCCGTTCTACGGCGTCGGGCGACTTTAAAGAAGAGCGCCCGCCGGTGGCCGAGCTGTCTTCCTACCCCGAACACCGGCAGTTGGGGGGTGGGTTGGCGCCCGGCTTAATACACTCGATGGCTTTCGATGGGCGTTTTAAAACCAATTAACCGTTTTATTAACGTATTTGAATAGGTTATTATGGAAGCGTTGAGAGCTTATAAACAAGTGGCGGCCGTTGAAGGATTTATAAAAAGCATTTCAGATAATTTACGATTACTGTTTACTTAAACGTTTCTAGTAACGTCGATAAAATTTCTTAATAACTTAATTGTATACGTAAGTAGGTTTATTTACCGAAACTGCTAAATTGTAAGAAATTTTAAATAGTTAAATCTTTTAATCGGTTAATGTATTTTTAATTTTAAATCGTATAAAAAGGGAAGGAAACCGATCACGCTCCGTTCACCACATCGTGATTCGGACGAAAGTCCACGCGAGAAATCCTAGAAAAATAAACCCAAGGGTCAACTACGATTATTCCATCGGTTCGTATTTGTAAATGAAGGATTCGATTGTCGCCCTTCTTTAAATTAACAGCATTGGAAAATGTGCGAAAATTCTTCCGAAGGAAATGTCGAGTAAGTCGTTTTGATTTTTATTTTAACGAAAAATTAAGTTTATATCATTAATTAAATTTTATCCAACCGAAAATGCGTAGGTCCGTCGTCGTTGGCCACGGTTATTTTCGGGTACATTTAAGTTATTTGAATAGAATACTTTAAGATACAGTATTTATTATTCTACTAGCGGGTAGGCCCGGCGTTGCTGGGGCAAAAGTAACCGTAGGGAAGATTAAGATTATTACGTTACGGCCGACCTTACCCGTTTTCGCAGAATGCCAGAATCGGGTTCCCCCCTTTCCCCACCCATGGGAGAATTTTTAAGCGGGTCTAAAAATATGTTCCATTTCCCGCAAAAACGAAAAATCGCGCCTGGCTTTCTCTTAACAATTCCATCGTTACGTAACGCTTCCGTCGTCGACGGAAGCGTTAATCCTTAATCCCGTCCCTATCCCCCGCGGGAAAGAATTTCGAAAAATCCCTTCTTAGGGCGCCTTTTGGCCACGTACCCTAACGGCGTACCGAATTTCCATGACTCCTAACCGTTCGGGCTCCGCGCTTGTTATTATTATTATTATTATATATAGATTAAGACCCAAATTTATACTTTAAAATAACCCGGTCGATTGGAAAATTCCAGACGAATAAATATAATAGGCGCGATCTTACTACGCTAACGGCGCATTTTCAACGGCACCCACCAGGCGCGAAACTTTTTCCTTATAAATACTCTTACAATTAAAAGTGAAAATTATAGCGCGATAAAATGGTATTTAAGAATAGATATTTCTTATAGGAACGACGTCTACTCCTATTCGATTCGGGTTGGAACGAAGGGTCGTCCGCTTTATTCGCATTTCGAAGGCATCCAAAATACGTCGGACCAATTCCAAAACGGATAAATAGGCGATTTTAGAAGAAATTAGACGTTTCTACGGGTTAGGTGGGGAGAAGGCCATACGCTTGGCCGACCCGTCCATGCGGCCGGTATATTGGCTAGAATCCGTGGTAACAAACAACGTTACTAATGGGATACGTCTGGCCAAACAAGAAACGAGATATTTGAAAATAAAGTATTTTTTATTACGCTTAATTATTTTACGGAAGTTTTAACGCTAGCCAATCGACCGATTATTTCTGAATAGCGCTACCTGGTCCAATTAATCGTCGTCGATGGTAGTTTTTAATTCTTTTCGTTTACCATAATTTCCCGGAGTAATTCCGCCGTTCTCGCTTAGTTTAAAATTGAACTGGTAAGCGCGCTTCTGCCGTTTCTATAGCAATAATTTTGCCTCGGAAACTATATTCTCTTGGTCCAATTTCCGTAAAGATGCGAATGGAAGAAATCCGCACCAAAGTCCGTCCATTATCGAATCGATAGTTCTGTTCAAAGGCCGAACGAAAATATTCTTCGGCACATTTTTCCTCTTTTAATCGACGATTTATTTCAAATTCCGGAGTGATTTCGTTTTCGCATTCGGAAGGATTTGGAAAAGGATTATGTATACTTTTATTGTATCGCCGGTGCCGAAAAGGCTTTATTGTCCGGCTAGGGGTCTTTTAGTTCGATTATAAATTCTATACCCGCTTTAGCTACGGACGGTCGAGGCAAAAAGTGTTTTCTATATTAAAAATTGAAAAAGTTTTTCTCCAATAATTTAACTGTAAAATGAAGGCTGTTCTACCGGCCTTCTCCTATATTTTTGTCCGATGCGTGGACAAAAATTCCGCCCCTCCCGTTCCCCCTTCCGATCGATCCCGGGTATCTATATCCGTGGCGGGTCCGTCGAGTACCGAAATGCATTCCGCTATTAAAAGTGTCGTTTTAATGTCGTCTCGATTATTTGGCTCCGTTGCGGTTCGATAAGCCCGGTATCTCGACCGACCGGCCACTGACAGATAATTATTAAATTAATGTTTTACAGGCGAGAAGCTTACGACTACTCGTCGGTTTATATAGGGCCAATGGCGAGGGACGGCCTACTCTACTGCCAATCTAACGCCACCAGAAAAATCCCACAAAAAGCGGGAATTGTTATACTAAAGAAATCTCTCATTTTCGTTGAAATTATCATCTATCGATTAAAACGAGTAAAATAGCTACTCGGTTTTACTATAAATCAAAATTTAGGAGCCGTTTTCGCTGGCTATTATCGATAATATAAATTGTATATTTGCGGAATGCGGGACGGTTTAATCTCTTACGAAAAGACGGTAAGGACCTTCTTAAATCGGGATTTCCCACACCGGTTAAGAAGAAATTTTTCCACGGCGATAACTAAAAGTACGTTTATCCCGGCGGTGGGACCGGAGTTTGGGTTGGGCGACGAAAATAGGCCCGCTCCGATTTAAAAAATAAGTATATTTATTTACATATATTATTCCCGGTATTTCCATACCGGGATAACGCGTCGACTCGAGACATTCTATCTTAAAGTTTACACCTATTGGGATCCAGAGAGTTTCACAATTATTTCATCGGGGACGTAGTGCCCGAACCTTTTCTCTCCTCTACGGGATCGATGTATCGAACGTAAGGCGGTTAAATGGCGCGAGATTAGTGACGAAAAAGTCTGGATAAAAGGTGACTCGCGCCTTTTATCCGACCTACGAAAGCTTATTTATATTATACGTATAAATGATACGTTATTTACGTAACACGCGGTTACGTAAAAGTCAAAGAATTAGTTTAAATACGTAATTTTGCGGTTAAGGTGGGCGAAAGTAAGTAGTATCGAAGGCGCGCCGCCGACAATCTCGAGCGCAAAGAAGCCGAAAATGGCGTAATTTTGCCGGTGCCTAAAAGGTGAGGAGAAGCGCAGATTTTATACTACAACTAATTAAACTTTTTAGGTGCGCCGATTCGTCCAAAGAGGTAGAAAAATTCGACGACGTCTCGGAAGTTTTCGGATCGTTCGGTCCTTGGCAGATCAAACTATTCGGCATCATGACGCTCATTCCCATTATCGGATTTTTTAATAATTACGCATTAATCGTATTATCGCCCGAAGTATCTCATTGGTGTAAACGACCGGCGGAATACGCAAATTTAACCGACCAAGAATGGAAGAATTTAAGCATACCGGTACGCGTGGAAGACAATCGAATGACTTATAGCAAGTGCCAAATGTACGATATATTTATTAACGAATCGCTGGAAACGAACGGAGAACGAAAACTTAAGTCCTGCGCTTCCTGGGAATACGACCATTCTCGCTATAAATCCACCATCGTGGAAGAAGTAAGTGCTCCTTTTATTACAATTTTACCTTAATAAAAACAATAAATACGTTCTTTTTGTTACTATTTGTAAAATGTGACCGTAAATTGTTTATCTTCATTTATAACGGTATATTTTTTTTCAAAATTTACGTTTATATATAGAGTTTATACGTTTATATATAGTTTGTTTCAAATTTTCCAGTTTCGGATGCGATAAGAAATTAATGCACTCTCTTACGTACGTCGAATAGTTTCCAGTAAAACGTAATAACGATATTAAAATTAAACTTAAAATTTTCTATTTTAACCACCGGATGATAATAAATAAGTTCTTATATAACGGAACCGAGTAAATTTCCAATGTTCTTAATAATCTAAATGTAGTATTTATTCGGTTAATTGGGAGAAGACTGCGCCAGTTTTACGTTAATCCTTCGAAAATCTCTTATTAACTCGATAATAAACGATATTTTGGACTCGACCCCCGGTCCGTAAAGACGTAATTCTTAAGCCGAATTCCGCGGGCTTGGAGAGATCCCGATTTCGGAAGATTGGCCAACTCGCTGGAGGAAAATTACGTCTTTATTATGGCCAATCCTTCTAAAACTTAGTGTTCCTCCAGTTAAGAATGTAGGCGACAAATGGCGGTGTCCGAGATTTTACACCCATCGAAACCCGCGTCTTTTCACTTATTCTAAGAAGGAGCCTAATGGCTTCTCCGGGCCGCTTAACACCAAAAAAAGGCTAAAAGTCTCATCTCGGTCATTCGCTCGATTAATTTAAATGGTATAAGGATAAAATAACGTTTCTAGATTTAATTGTTTATATAATTTAGCATTTGTTTAATTAATTTTATTATATAATTATCATTAATTGTAGTGGAATTTAATTTGCGAAAATTCTTGGTTGGCATCTTTTACCAATTCCGTATATTTCTTGGGTTACTTCTTATCCGCTTTGGTCAACGGCCATCTTTCTGACATGTAAGTATAGGTTATTTTAAATTCTACGTACAACGCGTGCCATCGAATTTATGCAATTCCGACAAAATTTGCTCTTACGATTACTAATTTATATCGATTTAGAGTAGGGCGTTGCGCCTTAACCCAGACCCAACACGGCGGATGTCATCTTAAGCAATTCTTTATAAGTTTTGTTATTTGCCAACCGACATTTAGCGCGGTTGACCGATTTTTGGGCAACCCTTTAGTAAAAATAAGACATAAAATTTGATTTGTGATTTTTAAGACCACGTTGCCAAGGGTGCGTATAATACCGGTCTTGGCAGAAAATTTAATAAATTTTAATAGAAAAATCGGCCATTATCTTGTCACTAACGAACGAAATTTATTAAAATTCGATTAACATTTTTACTCGTCCAAATTATTTTTTTTTTTAAACTACGAATTATTAATATTTAATACGTATGTTTTTCAGATACGGTCGAAGGCCCATAATTCTGTTATCCGCCTGCGCCATGTCCGTGTGTAGTATTATTTGCATATTTTCCACCAATTATTGGATGTTTACCATCGTCCGATTCCTAATATCGTTCTTCAGAGTCGGCATTTTTCTTCCTTACTTCGTCTTGAGTACGTATCGTTTCTCATTTTTATAATTATTTATTCATTTTACAACTTTTCCGCGCGTTTATAACGCAGAAATATAGAATTTAAAGACGACGAAAGAGAAATTTTAGTGTAATATCGTGAATTCGGCATCTTTCAGACGCCAATTAACGCTAACGATAAATGTACGGAAGAAAATTACGTCGAAAAATAATACATTTAATGGCCTTTTAACGTTTCTTCGTCGATTTATTTTAGTGTCGGAAGTTTTAGATACGGAACATCGAAAATATATCGTCCTGGTCGACATGGCTATGTGGGGAACGAGTAAATTGATTCTCGCATCGATTACTTGGTTTTTGACGGAATGGAGATACTTACAGTTGATTTTTACGGTTCCTTCCGTACTTCTTATACCTTTGTTACCGTAAGTAGAAACAAATTATAACATAAAACGGTGGTCGAACGAAGGACAATTCGTGCCTAACCAGGACCGTTTAATTAAGAAAGGGCCTCGGGCACCAAAAAGTATCGGCCGGGCGTACCGTACTTTCTAGTATTTTAAAGTACATCATTGGAGATAATTATTCCGGAGCCATTCCTCGATACTTATTAAGGAATGGTGTGGGAAAACCCAGAAAAGTCCATCCGGTGTTTCGCGGCGTTTCTATTTGGACCCGGGTTCTCCGTCCGAATTGTCTTTCGATTAAACGTAAGCCTGGGTAATTTGCAAATTCTAATAACAGAATTTCTTAATATTTTTCTTTTCGAGATTAATTCCCGAATCGCCGAGATGGTTACTGACTCAAAGAGACGTGGGGAAAGCGAAAGTTGTTCTAAAGAAAGCGATGAAAGCCAATAAAAAGAAAATTGAAAATTTAGACGAGATCGTTCAGACTCTTGTTAAAAGAATAAATTCGGTTCGTATAATGCTTTTGGGATAAAGAATTTCGTATTTAAATAATATGGGCAACGTTGCCCGGCTCTTCTTCGTCATTCGATCCAACAGCGTGAAATAACGCTTTTATTTATCTTAATCATACGTTACGTTTGAATGTGTAGAAAATTCGGGATGCATCTTTATTAATGTGAAAGACTGGACCAATTGTGAGAAATGCAAAGATAACATTTGCGCAATTTAGCAGATTTTAAAAGTATATTGTGTTTATTTATTTAAAAATCATCGAACTCGTTTAAACCCATGACCTGGAGATAAAATGGAGTTGTTATTAGTTTTTGATATAGATCGATGACGAATTTAACGATTTACATTAATTTTAAAGTGTTTTAAAAATGAAATAAAATATTGATTACATTTTAAAAATTAATTTAACCTCGTTTGATAAATATTAGGATGAAAATAAATCGAAAAATCCGACTCTAATAGACTTATTTCGCCATAAAATTACACGAAATTTGACCGTAGTCATGTTTGTAATATGGTACGATATATTTTTCTTACTTTTATTCTTTTAATGTAAGGAAATGTTCGATTAAAGGGATTTTCTTTGTTTTTCCAGGATATTTTCCGTTTTTGCTCTTTACGGAGTCACTTTTAGTTTAGAAACTGTGGGAGGAAGCGTCCAACTTTACCTGGTAATTACCGGATTAACTCAATTTCTAGGCATTATTTTCGTATACAAAGGATTACAGCGCTTTGGAAGGAAGAAACCTTTGGTTATTTTCATGATAGTTGGAGGATTATGTTGTTTTATTACCATTTGTATACCTGGAAGTAAGCGATTTTCTTTCATTTTACCAGCATTTATTACGTTTTTCGGCAATAAAATCACGTTTTGACACTGTCATCGAGAACGCGATGAGTGCGGGCACGATTTCCATTGCCAATGATCTCGACCAACTCGATAGACGCGTTATATCGATATTATTACTTCGACGAGTACCACGTAGCACCGAAGTCGAAACTGTTGTTGGTCGTGGGCGTGCGCATCGCATTTTTCCTGGTTTTCTTCGGGTTATTAACACCTAAACGGGGCCAATTTCCCACAAAACTCCTCCCGGGAGGCATCCCCTCGGCGTATCGCCCACGTGTGGCGTCGACTTAACCGAATAAACCAAACTAATTGCAATAAATTATCTATAAACTTTCTATTTACCAGGACATACTTCCGATGTAGTTTATGGGCCTCCCGATAATGTTCTTAAAATGGTTTTTACCTCATACATTTTTGAAATTTACGGTTAATAACGCCGGACGTAACAATTAGCGCGACGGATAGTTTATAAACCCGGCGGTAACAGCTAGTTTTTTACTATATAACAAAATAATACGCGGTGTTCCGCTGGCCAGTATCCAATTTGACCGATTATAAAAAATTAACGATTAAAGATTTAAGTTGGCTAAATATTTTATACGAGAGAAAATTTCATCGCATCTCTGTCCGTTTCGGCAGTCGTAGCGACAACACGCAGGCGATAGGCAATTGGCTGCAGCGTGTCCTTTCTCGTAGTGGCGATGGCTACGACCACGCGCTTGCAAAAATCCCGAAAGTCGCGTCGACCGTATCTTTCGCGTAAGGGGGTCAGATGGGGAGATCTTGGCGGCCACGCTAGCGCCCATTCCCGCACTTTCTCCCGTGGCAAAGTCATAATTGCGCGCTAATGTTCGCCGTTCGACTTCGGCGCCATTTTTCCTGAACGAAAAGATTCTATAAAACTCCATGCCACTTCTTGCTTTTATATATCTTAAATCATTCGTTTTTCGTGGCGAAATAAAATCGGATACTTTCCCTCCCGTACTTTAACTCTCAACTTAAAAAATCAAAAGTTAACGCTAAATAAAAATAAATTATTAGATTTTTCTCAAAATTCTTCTTCCTGTATTCAAATTCGAGATTGCCATCCAATTTAAGAATTCTAAATCAATGTTTTCTCTTAGAAATAATTCATTTCAACGAAGAAAGACGAAGACGAAAATAAAAGATAAAAGCGTAATTGTTCGTACAAACAACAAAATATTACTCTCTTTCATTCATTCGATATCAGAATTATCCGTCCAAGGGGATTCTTACAGAAAACCAATGCAATGTTTCTTTTTTTATTAATTTAGATATGCAAATTCTAAGAACTGCGATTGCGGCCGTAGGAAATATCAGCAACGTAATGGGTCTAAATGTACTTTATATGTTCACTTCCGAGATGTATCCGACAGTAGTTCGCAATATAGGAATGGGTTCTTGCGTAATGACGGCTCGAATTGGAGGAATTCTTGCACCGTTTGCTAAAGAAGTACGTTAAACGTCTTTATAATTTAATTATAAATAACGACGCCAGTTTAAAATTTTTTAAATATTTAGGCAAGCGCCATTCATTGGTCGATACCGTATATTTTATTTGGAATTTTAAACATCGTCGGTGGATTATTGATTGTGGTGTTCCCGGAAACCAAGGATTTGCAACTGGTCGATACACTCGAGGAAATGGAAAAAATGAAAATGTAATTTCTGCATTTTATTAAAAATTTAAATTCGTCTTTAAATATGGAAATTTTAATGCATTAATGTATTTTTTATAGGAAAAATATTGCCTGGAAATGGAGATTTTCTTGTTTTAAACGTAAATCGGATAATGTAATTTAAAATGAATATCATTTTATTCATTTTTATTAATTAATCATTTTTAAGCTATTTGCAATTTGTAATTCGATGCGGATTTAATGAATACACGCGAATATCATACAAAACCTGAAATTTTGATTCAATTCTTACATTATTGCAATATGTAAGTTTAATAATGTTTTATTTTCATATTCATTATATTTAATTTGTTCCAAGGAATTCTATAAAATGTAATTTAATAAACTGTATAAAATCACAATTACGTTGTACAAGGTATGATACTGTAGGAAAAACAAAGTAAAGAGTTAAAAATTATTTTAAGCATGACGAGCAATTATTTTTTGTGACATCGTCACAAAGCCGGGTTGCAATTTGTAAGCATATTTTAAATAATTTTTTAATTTAAAATATATGCTCTCTACCCCAAATAAGAAGTGTCTTATCCATGTACAGTACATCATACTTTTACGTTAGCNAATATTAAATATAATTTAATTAAAAATAAGATGGAGAGAATAAATACTTTAAACATTAATTAAAAATTAATTTTTAAAGTATTCGTCCTCTCGATCTTCTTGCTACAACCCAGAAAAAGATCCGTCGATTTTGATCTGGGAAAACAGACACGAAAACTACGTAAATCTACCTTCTGATCAACAAAGGCTGCTATACACCATGGGTTAATCCTTTGAGACTGCCTGTCCTTGAGGAACTTCAGAATTTTTTATTGCCCACAAACGAAGAAAAGCTCTCAATAGAGGTGTAGCTAGAGCGGGGAAGAAGGGCACGTCCCCCGGTAGCCACTCGCAGAGGGGTACCAAATGGTCTCCGAGACAAACAAATTTTGTTTCTGGAGAGGAGGGGAGGGGGCGAGGGAGGGGGTCGCAAATATAGTGTCGTACCTCGGGAACCAGATATGTTCGCTACGTCATTGTCAATCAGTCAGTCAGTCGGCCATGACATCTGATGACGACATACTGGCTGTTCTTAGATATCTATTGGCAACAAATAATTCTATTAAAACTCGCGAGAAAAAACATATGAGTAAACGTCTATGGTGTAAAGAGTGGCTTAAAAAAAGAGGATCGTATTCCCATGTGAACCTGATCTCAGAATTGAAGTTAGTACCACAACTTTGGTACGTATATCTCATCAGTTCCTGCTCCCGATTTGATTGATGCTTTAACTTTTTTCATTTCTTTTCTGTATGCGCTTCTGATATTGTTTATTTTTTTTATAACGCTTTCTTTATCAGCCTTTGGCTCCATTTCTTTTAGTTTTTCCATTAAACGGAGATAAGCAGCTTCTTTCTTTCTTCTATTGTGGTATTCTTTATTTTTAATATGCCAAAGGCATGGTTCGCTCTCGTAAATTTTTAAAAATTCCTCCAAATTTTCACGTGACATTGTTCTAACTACTGAACGACACGACGGCACACACGTTTTGGTGGGTCTACTCAGTCTGACACACCGCAGGAAAATCAAATGGTTTTTCGATTCTACTGAGGTGGTCGGCGAAGCTGTTAAATTGTACCCCATAAACTACCAAGAATAATAAAGGTCAGGCATGCATGATTACTCCTTTGAGGATTAACCTAATGAATACGGGCGATTCTTCTTAGGTGGTCGGTACAGTTTGCCGAAACTGTTAAATTTTCCCCTACACACTTCCAAGAATGACTCAAAATTAGGCATGCATGGTTACTCCTTTGAGGATTAACCCATGGTGTAAGTAGCATAAGTTACTCGCTCTTCGCGATTTACGATGTTGTTCTCAATTCCATTTTTTCCTCAACTTTTACGTCTTCACAGCTCGAGCTTGACTGTTTTCTTTATCCTTTTTCTGCCTTCTCGTAAGGGGAAGCCGAGGAAGGTCAAAGGTCGAGTGGCCGGCAATTATGTATTACGAACATAATCTACAACATATATATACTGAACGAGTTATCCTTTGCAAAGTTTTCATTCCGAAAGTACTGAAGATAAATTAATTTTGTTAACTGCTTACGTAAGAAGTCTTGCGCGGAGAATGGGAAGGGACCTTTCTTAAGTTGACCTTGAAAATCATTTCGAAACGAGTGTAAACTCCGATTACTGTATACCATAAAACGCGATGTCTCCCAACGGTACAGCTCCTTCCTACTACAGGGGTTGTTTCGTAATTGGCGGAATTTTTCAGCGATGTTCACACGTTATAAATCAATAGCGCACGTAGCAACGGCAATGTTTATTTGGTGATAAATAAACTGTATTCGTCTCTTGTTGTAGAATATGTTACAACTGTTAGAACGTTTCTCTCGTCTCTCAAACGACAGCAATTAAAGATGTAATCCGCGCGTATAATAAATCAGTGTAAAGTTTCTTGGAAATCTCATAAAATTTATTCGAAATTTTTAATAATTTCTAACACAACAGGCTTTATAATTATATCAATTATTTTCTGTCTGATAGTGTTATTTACATTCGTGACCGGTGTGACGCCTCACATTTTCCCCCTAATTTTGCTTCCCGTTGCAAAAGCACTGCACGCGTTAAAGTTGATTTCCCTCTGTTCCTCTTCCAGTCTTTTATACTAACAAAAAGCAGGATCTAGCCTAGTGTTTCCCAACGTGGGGCCCGCGCCCCACAGCGGGTCAATTGGATTGCTAAGGGGAGCAATTCGAAAACGGACTCGTCCAGAGTTTAAGTTAACCGTATAGTCGCCGTATATGTTAGGGGAGCATAAGAATTTTACAAAGGCTTAGGTGGCACAAAAAAGGTTGGGAAACACAGATCTAGCCCGTTACCAACGATACATTTCTGTCACCTCCCCCTTACAAATTAACACGAGTCGAATCTGCAACACTGCAACACTGCCGTTTACTTCTCTGTTTCGCCGATAGGGTCAACCAACCTCGGGTGAAGAATTCGTGACGTATATCGGATTATCGAATGGTGAAAGGTTGTCGCGTAATTGATACGTGTGGATTCGGTTTAAGCAGAATCGTGTAAATTATTTTATACGAGACGATAGAGATTGTTTATTGCTTTATTCCCGCTGCCCGAAGGGGGAGTTTGTAGGAAAGAATGGCGGCAACTGTTAAGAAGAAATTCTAGCACGTGCAGTACTAACAGTCAAAAAAGGAAAAAATAATAAAATAAATAAAAATCCAACGTGACCGAGCTATCGAACGGTAGTAAGATATGTGTTCGACGAATTCAGCGCTGGTCACGTGGTAAAAATCGTACATTTCTTCTCCCTATTTCCGTAAACGCGTGGAATGGAGAAGAAACGTTAAATCGGTGTTTACAAACAATTAATTTGCGGTTCCGCTAAAGTTTTAATGTTTTTGAAAATGCTAAAATATCTAAAATTAATGTTCGTTTCGAAAAGAAGAATGCGAAATATAAGCGTTTGTATAAACAAATTTGTTTGTTAATAAGTGGAAAATTTGAAAGAAATTCTTCACGGGTTTAAAGGTTTGGCGTATAAAAAAATGAATTTTCCTAAAATCGTAAAAGGTGCGCTTTCAGAAGCCGCATTACGTTTCCACTCGACGGCAAAATCGTAAATCGCCGCCATATTGAAAACTCTGCCGAGCGCTACGTCGCTCAGTTAACGGATTGTGTTAATTTAGCCGAATAGAAAAAAATGAACGAACGTGTTTAAATACGTTTTATACATACGGTCTGTTTGTCTGTCGTTTCTTACACTATTTTTTAATGACGATCCAACGAAATACGCCAATGCGTACAGTACGCGCGCTTGGCGTGGCGCGTCCACGCTTTATATTGGAAACAAGCTTCGAATTTCCTAAGCTTTGGGTAATGTCACAAAATATATTCTTATCGATATTTTTATCATTAAATAATCGAGTTTTATTAATATAATAATTATAATATTTCAAGGTAAAAAATTTGTATACGTAACGCCATATTGATTGTGGATGCGTGACGCCGACTTTTTTACTGAAATCAAACTTAAACAAAAGGGAATAATGATCATTGCCTAAAACACGGAACTAACGAGTCCCTTTAGGGAATGAACCGTCGTGGCCAGAAATACGGCCGATTTTATTTTTTCAAATCGAGTGCCCGAAATTATAAGAACAAACAAAATCGTCCAAATGATTACAAAAAGATAAGAAGCAAAGAATTTGGTGGAAAATTAATTAATGGCCGAATGTTGGCGTCTACGACCATCCTGGTGTTTATCGTTTTAGCAATAATTGGGTCGGGGTAGGATGGGCGATTTCGTACCGCCGCAACGGGCACTTCCGAAACTCAAAGATTGGACAGAAGCATCTTTAAGCGAAAACCAAGCAGAATCTTCGATTTCCCGTTGCATCCAAAGTTCGTATATAGTTAATCGAGCCCGAAAGTTTTCGTATCTATCTAACTCCGTTCTGGAGCCGGAGGAAAGACAACCGACGGACGACAGCAATTTTTTCACGCCAGCGGGATATAAAGACTAAACGTATCTTGTTTCATCTTACACTGAATTCGTTAATCCGAATTTGAGATTTAGAATTTAAAACGAGAATTAAATTAACGGTATTTCACCGAACTGGCGATTTAATTCCCGCTCCAGAATTATAAATAGTAGAGAGGTTGCGGCCGACGTTTTCAACGCGAAAACGTGTACGTCGGACGTTCAGCGCCGCTTTCCTATAAGCCTAGAAGTTTGACAATGGTGTTTGAATAGTCAGCGGAATCACGCTCGACATTCCAAACACCATTGCCAAACTTCTAGTCCTTCAGGAAAGCGGCGCTGAACGTCCGACGTACACGTTTTCGCGTTGAAAACGTCGGCCGCAACCTCTCTATTCAATATAACCGCCAACTTCATCGACTCATCGATGTAATCGGTGTAAAGAACGGGCCGTCAATGCTATTGTATTAACTTACGGCTAAGCGTTTATTATTGTCGAGTAAATGACGCGTATTAACGGGATATAGGAATTCCCACAAACTGTTATCGGCGGTAAATTAAGACCTTCCGCCTTCCCGGGCATAGATCGGGGCTCTCTATACAATTTTACATTATAAGCTAATTGTAATTATATAATTATTTACAAATTATAATATACAATCGTAACGGTAAAATTGGTTTATATTTTTCTTTAATTTTGTGAACCCTTTGTGTAGTCCTATAAATTCCTCCCGCCTTTCCTCCAGCTCCAGAACGGAGTTTAGGTCGAGACTCCGCTAGCGTAAAAACTTTTAATGGCGTGACCTATTTGCGTTTGCGTGTGGATGGCGGTGGAGGCGCGGATAGCCAAGTTTTTACGGCGACGGTGCTGCTCCGAGTGTCGAATGTAAATACTTTCTCGACGCGTGAATTGGTAGAAACGGAAGACGTGATATATCGATATAAAGACAACGATTATATTCTACCAGTTTTTTCTCTACTATAATTACAAATGTAGTAAAAATAATATCTTTACTTTCATATATTAACTTATTAACTTAACAACTATATTAATTTATTATCGTGTTATTAAGATAATATACGGCACTTATAAACTTAGCTTTTTTATTATTTTAATGGATGCCAAGGATTTTCCTTTGGCATCCATTATTATGATAGGGTTACCTCTCGTCGTAGATACACGAATACTTTCGGACGTTTTCGATAAAGCCTGGACTCCGCATTACCGGAATCCGCGACGTAATCGTAAAACCGAAAGCCAAACTGACCAAACTTTCAGTTTTATAACGTTCGGTTGAACAGAAACAACACTGAAAGCGGAGTTAAAAATTATATAACTTTTCCGTTTTCGTTCGGCGCTTCTGTCGTACTCCAACCAATAAAAACGCGAGGATTTGTGACGCGTATTCACGCGCATTAGTCACGCGTAGTTTGATTGTCTCAATGGCGGAAGGTGTAGCGAAAACGACGAGGAAACAAATAGATTTGGAATTCTTCGTCGAAGAAGTTAGAAAATACACACGTCTGTACGACAAAAAATGTAAATAATTCAAAGAATATTAACAATTTCATTGTTAATAAATGCGGAGGAAGGGTGGCAAAATCCGTAGCTTCGTCCGTGTTTGATTACGACAATCACAGAACTGGCCAACAGATGGCGCATTTCTAGTGGTGTCAACTTAAAACGAAAAGTCTATATGTTTCAGTTGTGTTTCTGAGTTTCTGTTTTCGGGTAATGTGGAGTCCAGGCTTTAGGCTAAGTCCAGGGAACTCGCCTGTACGGTACGCGTGGGAAACGCTTGACTCTGCGGACCCGTTTACTAAGTTTATTATTCAAATATACTGTATTCCGCAATTGGTACGTAATGCTTTTACGTAATTAAATTGTTTATCGGGACGTAGCCTATATTTAGAACAAAATATATTTAAATTCTCTCACTTAAATAGTAGTCTACAACCCTTAAAGATGAAGCGTGTTGTCCCGGAACAAACATAAAGAAAAACATTTTTCTAACACCTTATACTATCAATACAAAAGATAAGCCGTATTATCTTACAAAATCATCTAGACCTAGATTTTAAAGTGTTATTAAATACTTAATATAGTATAAATAAGCGTCAGGATATTTATATTATTAAAAAAAGCATTAGAAAATGCGCCCCTCGCGCGCAACGCGACACGCCAATTGTCTGGAACTTATACTACGCGTGGACTTTTACCCGATTTAAATAACTCGTGTCCTGTAAAAAGTAAATAAACGTACGAACATCTGCGGCTGTCCGAAAGATGGCAGCTGTTCGATACGTTAATTGTACAGAAAATGACGTACTAATTGCTAATTTACACGAAACGAAGAATGTAGAAAAATTATCGAAATGATTACAAAAGTTGCTTCTAGCCCTCGGTATAATTATATTAATTAAATTAACAACCGCCAGGCAGATAATAGCCGGGGCTTATCGGACCGACGATGGGCACAAACGCTCGAGAATCAAAGTGAAAAGGCAAAAGTGACTACATAAGTATGGAAACGAAAGAACTAAAGGTTTTAGTATATTATACGAGGTAAAGGTAAACTTGAAACTATGCCTAAAGTTATACAATATAAAGATGAAAATGCCGTTATAACTGTATGAGCAGTAAGCATTATCGGTGTAGACAAATGTAATAAATCTTCGTAACGTTGCAGGGTGCTGATACAAAACAGTTATAAGTTAGCCAATTATTGGTTTACAGTTATGAACTAAAGTAAACAATATGATATACAGGTTTAATTGCAACTGTAATAATCCTATGACCTATGTAGGCGAAAGGAAAAGATGCCTGGAACACGTAAACGCCATCAAATACAATTCTGAATACTCTGCAGTTGCTAAACACTGTTGCTAAAACTATATGGATGCGAAATAGATAAAACTACGACAAAAGCACTAAAATTCGAAATTAACACCTATAAACGTAAATGTTTTGAACACGTAGCGATTTTAAAAATTAATAACGCTAATAGAATTAATGATAATCTAGGTCAAGGGTCGCCAAACTTTTTTGATCGTCGGCCCCCTACAAGTTTTCGAAACCTCACATCGACCCCATCAAAAAGTTTGTGTTAAAAGCAAAACAAAATACTTACTATTTTAATACATTTCTTTTCATTTATTGTATATTTGTTAATAATAATTTTTGTAACTGACAATCAGTGAAACGGATAAGGTTGATCCTTAGCTTAAGCTTGATAATCGACCCCCTAATAATGTTATATCGACCCCTGGGGTCAATGTCGACCACTTTGGCGACCCCTGATCTAGGTGTTGAAATTGACGAAGGATGACACAATTATATATTTTAAAAACTAAACATCTTTGCGATGTGACGACTATATATAGTTAAAAACTGTTGTAAACTTGTAATTGTATCATATGTTGTCACCATTTGTGCACCACGTGTGGACTGTTACACACTTACCTGCCTTACTACCGCTCCCAGCGCCTGGTTGTAATGCTGGCACCAGCATCTCTGTCGTCTTACTTTTTTTGGTATGTACTGTACAGGTACTGTACATAATCTGTCCGTATAACTTTAGTTCGTAACTGTAAACTAATAATTGGCTAACTTATAACTGTTTTGTATCGGCACCCTGTACATCACGCCACAATCATAAGTTTAGTATAGTTACAAGCTAATGAAATTAAGTAAAATATCAGTAAATGTAACTATATCTTCCTTCGTTGCTTCCGGAAATGGGCCATCCATCCTTTGAGTCACTTTAGCCTCTTCCTATCTTGTTGTATACAAACCCCCTCCCTTTAATTAGTTTATGGCCTCCTGGAAAACGAAGAAATGGCTTTCGAAAGAACAAATTGTGTGCCACTAATACAACTAAAAAGTTCACTTAGATTCCCTCCCCCATTCATCGTATTTTTCGCGATTTATTTCCCCTCTTAAACTGTACGCGTGATTAATAGACGACATCAAACTTATGAGTAAAAATGTGGTGATATGTGGGAAATCCATTCGGTACAAAACTAGAATTTTTATGCCTTTCGTGAATAGACGATAAACCATAGTTTAATATAGAAAGAATTTATTAGAAATATATGGGCTTTCTAGTACAGGGGATATTTTTTAAACACTAAAATCAGTGGATAACCTTTCGATAAAAGGAGTAGAATTACAAAGGGTGAAATTATAGACTAGCTTTATAAGCAAAGCTGTAGACAAAGTCCATGCCACAGTGCTAGGGACTACCCGATATAGTCAATAATTTCGTTAGTACAGTAAACTCACGTTAATCCGAACAGCTTCTATCATTTCCCTAACTAAAAATCATAATGAACTCGTCAACGCGTAAACATAAGTTACACGCTGCGAACATTACCGTCATTCTTTCCGTAAACCCCCTTCGACTCTCAATTACGTGTTCAAAACGCCTTACAGCATTGTATCACTAATACCACTAAAAAGTTCACTTAGACTCCCTTCCCCCATTCTCGCGAAAAATACGCGAGAATGGGGGAGAGAGAATTCTTTGCTCGATATATCGTCACAAGAACCTCGAGACAGCTAAAAGTCCCATAGCGAGAGGTCAATGAAGAGGTTGAGGCGCACGTATTCGGCCCAAGACGTGTACGGGGGACGAAGGAGCGCCGCCATCTGGCAATTCTAGGCGGTCGATAACGGCGTCGGCTTGGTGTAGAATGGCGAGTAGAAGATCGGTTAAATTTCTTCATTTTTTTTCTGTTTGGGGTTTAAATTATGACCTATTTTATTAAGATAACGATTATTTAAGCATTTACGAATAACATTGTGAAGAAACAGACGATTTTAATCCAAAAATCATTTAATTATTTAATATTTTTAATGTAATGCGAAGTGACCGCGGAAACTCAAAGGCCGTGTTCACTTTTTCTTTTTTTTATTTTCGCACATTAAACATTTAATTAAAATTATATTTGTAGTCTAGTGATGAGGTATTAGTATTGTTGGATCAGTACGATAGAGACGAAGAAACCATTTTATTATATCATATCACTAAAGATCTACCTGTGACAAAAGCAAGAATAAATTTAAATGACTGATTCTGATTGCTTGTTTTCTTTTCGGTAAGTGATATATTTATAAATTAAAGTAAATACTTAAAAAAAGGAATTATACTCAGTGCCGTAACTAGCCATTTCTGTGCCCTGTGCAAGAACTTGCATTTAGGCCTCTTAATTAATTAGGTTTGGGAAAATAATAAAACAAACATGTGCATTTTGGGACACTCTTCCAAATGGGCCCTGTGCGGGTGCACCTGTTGCACCTGCCTAGTTACGGCACTGATTATACGTATAAAATTTTTAATATTAACAGATTTTTAAGAGACGATTTGTTCTATCCGCATTGTGCTTTACGCCTTCCATCTGTAATCATTTGTGAAAATGGATGGCGTTCACTCGGAATTGATGCATTATGTATTTTATCCTAATAGACTCGATGATATTTCTGTTTTGTTGGGGAGTTCAAAAAATAAACTTTCACGATTTGTGCACGAAACGGTAAATATCATATACAATAGCCATTCCAAATTGTTATCGAATATCGACGAGATAAAACTAACGAGAGAAAAATTAAATTTATTTAGCCAAGTAATAACGGCCAAAGGTGTTCCTTAGACAAATTGTTGGGGGTTCGTAGATAGAACGGCGCGTCCTATTTGTCGACCAAAAACGCATCGAAGGGTGGTATTCGGTGGCCATAAACGTATAAATTGTTTGAAATTTCAATCGGTGGTTACACCCCATGGTATTATTGCTAATTTTTTTGGACCGATAGAAGGAAGACGTGGTGACAGTGGAATGTTAAGAGAATCTAATTTGTTAGAGCAGTGTTTTTCAACCCGTGGGTGGCGGGTAAAGAAAAAGACGAGTGTTTATAGGTCCTACACTACGATGAAAAAAAACCTACAATTTCAGTGAGAGTGGCTATACCTGTTTATTTTACAGTGCAATTGGTTTTTCGATCGATATTTAGGTCTCGACAGAAAGAAAATTAAATACGTAGTTTTTAAAATCACTGATATAGTTTTAATACGGCCCTGGGGGTCGCCAGAAGTTTTTAACTTTCAAAGCGGTCGCGTATTCGAGAAGATTGAAAAACACTGCGTTAGAGCATTTGGCCGCGATTCTTTGTTCCGAGAACGGGACCCAATTTGTTTTATATGGAGATTCTGGTTATCCTTCGCGTCGACACCTCGTTACACCATTCCCAGGTGCTAGCTTAACACCCGCGCAACAAGTATTTAATTCCAGAGTGAGTTCGGTAAGAGAGTGTATGGAATGGGTATTTGGGAAAATAATTCAAATATTTGCTTTTCTAGATTTTAAAAAAAATTTGAAATTGTATCTTCATCCTGTCGATGAACTGTATATTGTTGGTGCACTACAGTACTTACAAACTGTCACACACGCTTATACGGTAGCGCAACATCAGATTATTTTAATTGTTTATCCCCCAAATTGGACAAATACTTAGAATATAATCAATAAATAAATAAATAATTTTTTCAATTTTATAAAATTTTTCTTCAAAAGTTTTCAAAAGTATTTCTAATAACGCTTCTCTTTCTTTTCTCTCTAAATCAAACTTTTCTAAAAACACTCTTCTTTCCTCTCTATCTTGGTCCAGTCTCGCTTCTGTAAAGAAAACTACGATAAGCTATTTTATGAACACGGCTATAAAAATGTTATCGACGCTTTACATCACTGGCAAAAAATTGAATAATTAAATAATTTCTGGATTAAAATCGTCTGTTTCTTTACAATGTTATTCGTAAATGCTTAAATAGTCGTTATCTTAATAAAATAGGTCATAATTTTAACCCCAAAGAGAAAAAAATGAAGAAGTTTAACCGATCTCCTACTCGCCATTCTACACCAAGCCGACGCCGTTATCGACCGCCTAGAATTGCCAGAGGGCGGCGCTCCTTCGTCCGCCGTACACGTTTTGCGCCGATACGTGAACCGCAACCTCTCTATTTTATACTTGTAAAAATAGGCTTGGTTCTGCAGTCCGTTACCGAAGTATAAGAACACCATAAATTTTGTTTTTTAAAAATTTATTTTGAAACAATTACTGGAAATATTAATTATTTTTATCATTATTTCAATTATTTTATCGGGTTTTTTTTACATTTCATAAAGTAGGATAAATTTTTTTCACAAATATCCATTTTTTTTTATATATTCAACGTATATGGTGTTTAACATTCAGGAATGAGAGAGAAGTTTTGAAGCTTATAAATAAAAAAAGATGTCAGTGCTGCCGAATATCAATAGATGTATCTCGCGCGACTCTTTGGACAACTTTAAAAACTATGACAATGTAAAATATTTAAATAAAGTCGAAACTACCTTTAACTGCCAAACACGTATCAATGAATTTAAATTAGGCTAAAGACGAGGTGGAATGGACCGAAGAATGGCAAGAAATAATGTTTAATTTATATGGCCCCGGTGGGTTTTCTTATTATTGGCACGATTTAAGAAAACAGATTTAAAATAAGCCACGGGTCTATAATGATTTGGGATAGTTTTGGAGGTAAATGGAATGGATGGGAAGGAAAAACTAATTTAGTATTTGTTGACAAAAATATGATTACATTTGGAGCATTAATTGGAGGACATAAATGGTAGTTTCAACCAGATCGTGTCTCGATGTCAACAAAAAATTGGTTTAAAAAAGAAAATATTGGTATAACATTAACTGGCCTTCCTGTTGTCCAGATTTAGATCCCATGAAAATTTATGGGGATTTTAGCAGCCATTGTTTATCAAAATGGGAAACAATACGAATCTGTAAATCGATTGAAAATTGCAATAATGGATACGTGGGATGAAATTAAGAATGAACAATTAATTAAAAAAGTAGACTAATAAACTCCACGCTAACAGAATTTTTTCAAATAATTGTAGCCAAAGGGGGTGAAACCAAATATTAAAAGTGTTTAAAATATATTTAAAATTTATTTTTATGTAATTTTAGAAAGTGTACCTATACTTCGGTAACAAGTAACGAGTGATAACTTCTATTATATTATTAAACAATAAGAAGCTTGAAAATGATATTTTTCTAATTGTCTTAAAACGTATAAAACTGTTTTCTAATAAAAAATTTAATAAATTTTGAAAAATCAGAAATTTGTGGTGTTCTTATACTTTTGTAACAGACTATATATCTGAGAAGCAAGATGGCATTCACATACCTTGTCATAATACTGTAGAAGTAAAGTTGTTATTTCCCCGCATCTTCTACCGTCGACGGTGTAATACGTCCGAAAATTTTCAGATATACTTTTCCAAGCACCTTTCGGATTTTCATACGCGTAGGGATTTACAGCCACTACATCTCTCGATACAAGTATATCGTGATAAGAAGAAAACGCATTGGAACTTTCCTAATGTTTCTCGGAGGAAACGCGACGCTAATCATAGTAAAAAAAATAATTATTTAGTGTTATTAAATACTAGTAGCCCGGGATCCCCCCTAGTGGGCGTTCTTTACAAATTTCCACGAGGCACGGTTCCTTTGACTTTTTTGTTCCTATCAATATGCTGTACAGCTCTGTTAAAGTCCCAATGGTAAGATTTACCCTCCGAATGAAGAGGCGGCGACCCCCCAAACTGTAGCCCCTGTGCGAACAATAAAGTCAAAGGAACCATACCCCTACTCGCGACCCTTCGCGAGATATAAGCCCCTGAAATAATAAATTCCTATTACAAATATACTGAATTATTTATATTGTTATATTGACCAAATAATAATTTATGGGCCAAATGAATAATAATAATTTATATTGTTAATTTAAATAATAATTAAAATTGTTAATTTGAATGTTTGAAATATGACACACGATAGGGGCGCCTCTAGTGTCCGTTATCAAACGGTTACGCGGACAGACACCCGTAGAATGGGTTATATATATAGATCCTATAAATAGTTTTAAACAGATTAATTTGTTTATTTACCTTTGCTGGTAATCCTCCAAGCAAAATGTATCCGCCATTTTTTTAACTTATTTCCCGTGAGTCGGTGCGCGCCGTTCACCGAGTCACGTGATGTTACCAACGGTCACCTCAGCGAATTTTACTTGGACTCGAAACGCCAAACGTGTACTTCCGCTTGCCGTACAAGTTTAACGTTTGAACTGGCGCCACAACCTCTCTATTTCCTCCAGCATATCAGACTTCCTTGCCAGACGAAGGCAAAGGCTTTTCTTCTTCGTTACGATACAGCCCTCCTTTATCTTCACTAGTTTGGTTCTTCCCCTCATTGACCCGTTTTAGGACACTTCCAAAAGCATCTTTCGGTGGTCGCATCACCACCATCACAATTAATAAAAATCGTCCGTGTTTTTGTCTAATATCCTCATTTCAGTTAAGAAATTTGTCATCAAATTCGATCGCCCTCTTCTTTCCGCTCGTATCATCGGACTCAATTCGAAACCAATCCAGATACTCGCTCTTGCTCTTTGATATTAGAGAGGTTGCGGCCGACGTTTTCAACGCGAAAACGTGTACGTCGGACGTTCGGCGCCGCCTTCCTGCCAGCCTAGAAGTTTGACAATAGCGTTTGGAAGTCATTAGAATCGTGCTCGACGTTCCAAACGCTATTGCCAAACTTCTAGGCTGGCAGGAAGGCGGCGCCGAACGTCCGACGTACACGTTTTCGCGTTGAAAACGTCGGCCGCAACCTCTCTATTCTCCTCCCGCTATGACTTTCCAAAAAGTGGATCAGTTCTCACTTCTGCCGAAGATTTAGCTCTTTGTATCTTTTGTTGGTCGTTCTAAAAGTTAATTTGGATCAGCGAATGATTTATTGAAAAAAGTCAAAGAAATTTAACAATTAGCAAAGAACACACGAAATTTCTTTTACTCAACTTATAAAATAAATACTTTAAACACCTTATCTACAGTCATTTTAACTAAATTTCCTATAAAGTACAACGGTTTTAAATATTTGCAATACGATCACTACGAACTGGACTTAAAATGGTTTTGTTTTTAATGGTCACTTCACCCAAGATGATTTCTTCCCTCGGGACACGACCAACGCTCACAATACACGGGTCACTGTACGCAGATATCCATTGCAAAATGTATTATTTTGCAACGGGACCAGCTCAAAGTGCCTAAGCTTAAGCAGATTTTTATGTATTTGTCATCGCTTTGTTACTAGTCGGATCATAAAATTATCGTCTTAAAAATTAAATTATTACTCAGATTTCCAGAATAAATCGAAAAAAATATATATTTTAGATATATCATTAAAAACGAGTATCGAATACGCCACCACGACTCTTAGCCAATCAGATGAATCCGTCGAATGATTTCAAAAAAAACGTTCGATTTAGAGAAACCGTTAGATTTCTGGAAATCTTAAGTTCCTTGAAATTCTACAAGTTCGTTGGTAAGCGCCTTTTCCTGTATTTTTAATTAATTAATTAATTAATATACAGTAAAATTGCGAGGATAGTCGCGTTAATGTCATTCTGTAAGGAAATTCAGCGTGAAAGAGAAAGTGGAAACTCATAGTTTGCATCTTCCATTATAATATACGAAGCATAAATGTTACGTTTATATTATTTTAACGGCTCTCGGTATTATTTATGTATTATTTGTTATTTTTATTATTTAATTATTCACTTTTTTTATATTAAATTGAACGTCGAGATGTTCCATTTTTTTAAAGTGTCCCGTATCGACGATGACCCGCTGTATTAGGTTGAAAATGCTGGTGTTTGTGTAAATAAACATTTCCAGCAAGCATTAAGGGGTTAATTAATACCGAGAAAGCTCATTTATTCGGCTAAACAAACGTTTTCAACCCATTCGACGGGCCATCATCGGGTTATAGACGTTCGAAATTTCGAACGTCTATAACCCGATGATGGCCCGTCGAATGGGTGTTATTAAGGTTGAATTAAGGTGTGTTGACTTTACAGAGTTAAAGAATCTGAGCGTGAATAGGTGAATTGTTTTTTTAATGAAGGTCTAATGAATTTTTAACAAAGTAAGAAATACGAAGAACTTTGATAACAAACCGGGGTGGGTGAAACGTAATCTCTGCAAATGATGTAGGGAAAACAGTAATGTTTTTCATTTAATCTCTTTTAAAATTTAAGTTTTTAGTATACCGCCAAGATACAATAATAAGCTTTAACAAATTCACCTTTTAATAATTTTTAATTTATCCATCCCGTATCACATTTAGTTTTAATATTAATAGAATTTTTAAATTTTCCTTTTTTCTGATTTAAAATTTAAAAATTTCTAGAAAGAAAGGTTAATTTTCTGCGGGTTGGAAAAATTATTTGGGCCCAGAGTTGTTCCATTTTGCCACTTTAAACTTTGTTTTTCGAACAATAATGTTTCATTAATAAAAATAAGCGGTAAAAATAACATCAATTTATAGAAAACACTATGGATGTGTAAATTTTCTCCAGGCACAGGGAAAAGTCCCTAGCTCCCCTCTAGACCTTACGCGTAATGTAGGCTATATAATGAATGTATAAAGTCTCTTCTCCATAAGATGACGATAATGCTTATTCTTTTTATGTATGTCGATATAAGAAGCGAAACGAGACCAGTCTTTTAATTTTTATATTTTAAAAGATACGCAATTTTTTCAACAATTGGTAATTTTTTTAGTGTGATTTTTCTGTAATTTGAAAAAATTTTTGTAGAACAAATACACCTTTAAAACATACATTGGAAGGCCTACTTACGGAAGTAAAGTAATACGATTAAAGACGACTAACTAACTTATTCATCTTTAAAGTACGTCTTTCCGGACGATTTTAATTTTAAAATTAACGCCAGTCTGAATTATTTTCTCAATTTTTAACACACGCCCGGGTTCGGGTACGTTAATCGTTTGTTGGATGCGAAGAAACAAAAGGGAATCGAATGCAACTCATTACACTCGAAGCCTCGGGCACACATTACGTTATATCCATAATAATATAATAGATATTGTATTAGGTAGAAATTCCCGAGGCATTAAAGGCTTATTTTACGCCAGTAATTTAAAGGATACTCCATTATCTATTTATTCATTTAAAACTTATCAGTTTAGAAACTTATTATAGCGTTAAAATTAAATTTTAACCAATGTATTTTAAAATGTAGTTAAATAGAAATGAGTCGGGAGATTAATAATTCTTTAATTTTTTCCGGTATGGCGTTTCGCCGTTCTTCGAGTCGTTTAGTAGCTTTCCATTTAATATTATCCGATGATTCTCGAGTCCAAGTGTTCGTTATACTTTTACAGCTATCGGTTTTCCCGTTATTCTTTCCGCCTGGTGGAAAGAATATCTCAAATACCTAAATAAATAATAGATTATATATTTTATTATAAAAGAAAATCGCGTTAAAGTAAATAATGGCGTTTGGTAGTTTCATTTCTAAGACGACCCCTTCCATCGTCCCGTTATCCAGTTTCCCCCTCAAGGTCGATTTTTCGACTCGACCTTCTAATCCGCCGCAATACTCCCAGAATTCTTTATTAACGTTAAGAAAAAATTATTTAAACGTTTATTTTAGTTACAAATAATAAAAAAACTAATAATTAATCTCTCTTCGTTAGCTAATTAAAAAATGGCGTTATTAAGAAAAATAAAAACTGGACATTTTTCAAATCGTCCAATCGTAAATTTGCAAACAGTAAGAAGTTTAATTAACTTAACTATTATAGGTCGAAACGACGTAGCGTGTTTCGTGATTGGTCGACCCCGTTTCTTCCATCTAAGCGGTGCCATTTGTCCGAGTGTTAGTGACCCGTCTGGACTCGTTTTGTTGCGGTAAGTTTAACTCTGTCGTTTACTCCATTTTCTTTTGTTAAGGTAATTACTTTTCAAAGTATTTCCATACTTTTTTATTAATATAACTAGATAATACGCTGTTTAAGAGTATTAAGACGATTCGCGAGAGCTACGACTCGTACCACGTGACGAGCGTCAACCTGTTGTAGGAAGTAATGCCAAAAAAAAAAAAAAAAAAAAAAATGCGGAAACTTGTGGCGATTGCTCTCTTTTACATCTAAAATAAGTTTTAAAATAAACTTTTCGATCGGTGAAGTATTTATATATTGTTAGAGACGGTTAAAACTGAAAAAGTTTTAGTTTACGAAAGTTTAATTTTGCCGCCATTTTGAGAGCGAACCATTTGGACGGATGGTCGGTATCGTCATTAACTTTTAATTAAAGGTGAATTATTATTAACGTATAAAACTTTTAAGTTCTTAAATACGAATTTTTTAATGATTTTTAATTACAATGGAGAACATTTTATAATTAAATGAAAGGATCTATGATATTAAAAATGGCCACGAATGCGAAAGATGGACAGTTTCCACCTTTTTTTTACACGAGGAAACAAAAATTTATTCGGACTTTGCTCCTATCGGGTACCCGCGTGACTAATGCGAATTCTTTTCGACGCTGCTATTTTCTAAACGGGAACCACCGATGTGTAGGAGCGATACGGGAATCACGTGGCAAAGAATATATTTGCCTTAAATTGTTGTGATCGGAAATAAAGTCAAAAATAGAACCGCAACGACGAGTTTCTTTTATCCACCCTTCGCTTTTAATCCTCATTGAAATGATTTTTAGGAATTTATTAATATTTCTATAATACTATATAATTGTAGACTTTCAGAAATTTTTTCAGTCTTTGAGAAGGTGTATTAATGAGAATTCTTTTTTGAGTTACATCAATAACACTGTTCTATTGTAAAATCAATATATTCATTATTAACAAACGGTGAGAATTTATTTGTCATTAAAATGATATTAATCTTTGTTGTATTATTAGTCATTTAATATTTATTCCTATATTTCTTGCTATTGTATTGGGATTTTGTAGGAATGGATAAGATATCTATATACCAAGGATAATAAATTGATTGAAATAAAAGTTTTTGATTGTTTATTATTGATTGAGAAAATGCTGATTCCATCAATAAAGTGAATTGGAACTTCCAATCATTTTCTGAATTATCATTCTACTTGAAATGCCAAAGGATTTCAAAATATTATTAAATTTGAGCTGCCAAAGATTTTTATCATTTCCCATCACATCAATCTGTTTTAACGTAAATTGATGTAAGAATTTAATACGGGTAACCCCCGTATAACACGGTAGTTACGTTCCAAAAAATTGCCGCGTTATGCGAATCCGTGTTATGCGAAACAAAGAACTAATACGAAAAGGAGGGTTAGGTTCCAAAAATTAAAAAACATGCTAGTATATTTTCATAATTAAGATAAATATCTTCATTAAAATTTTTT